TTGGGCAATCCTACTTCCGTAGTGATACTGCCTCGGAAACCCAAGGAGGGGTCACTATGAGTCGGGTTTGACTCGACGGCACATAACAACAACATTGTATTTAATGAGAACCCACTAAATTCATTTTCAAATTCATTTCATTTAAAGTTAAAATGACTGTCTGTTCAACATGTGTAATTATTTTCTTTAGGGAGTCCTGATATTTTGCACTAATAATTAAGGATGAAAAACTGTAAAAATCTATCTATTTAACAATACGAATACAGAGCCAAGTTCCTAATGTATTTAGTCATTCCCTCCAGCCACGTCCCTCAACACACACACAAGTGTGTGTACTTTAGAGTATTTTGTAGTGGTGTTGCTTTGATCTTAAGCATTGTCCAAGTTAAACAAAGCCTTGTTCCCAAAGAGAAAGCTCAGTAAGGCTTGGGGCAGGTGGGGGTGGGGGAACAATAGTTGCCTCTGAGTAGATTTTGACTCACGGTGACCCTCCACATGTGTCAGAGTAGAAATACATTCCGTAAAGTTTTCAATGGCTGACTTTTCAGAAGCAGGTCATCAGGCCTTTCTTCTAAAGCACCTCTGAGCAGACTCCACCTGCCAACCTTTGCGTTAGCAGCCAAGCACGTTAACCTTGTACACCACCCAGCGATTCCTGAGCTGGGGAAAGGGGCAGGAAATCTCTCTCTCTGCCTTATTAAAATGAAGGTCCATCATCTCTGCCTTTTTCAGACATACAGATTTTGGATACCACACAGACCTGCATTCAAATACCAGCCCCAAAGAATAAGCTATCACAATCTCCCTGCACCTCAGTTTTCTCATTTGTAAAAGTGAGAAAACAATAGTACTCCAGTTGTTTTCTGTTGGTTCTCAGTCCCACATTGGCCTTCTATAATTTCCACCTAACTACGAAGACTGGAAGCCTGAAGATCACATTGGACTCCCCTGCCAGCTGCATTCCAGTTAGAGAAGCCCTTGGGAAGGACTTGCAGTCAGGAGAAAAAGGGAAGTAATTTTGCTTTGGGAAGCACCCACGCACACCCGAGAAGGGTGGTTCCAGCAGCTGTAGCTACAGTGGGGTTACCTCCAGTAATGGAAGCTAGAGTGGTTCCTGCTCAGCACCACAGTGGTACTTTCCCAGCCAATCAGCAGCAAGTGTAGCTTCATGAGTTCCAGCTCAAAGGTGGAAGCAGCTTCTGGATCTCTGGGTAACACCCCTTTCTCCCCTTGGAATCCTCCAGCCCAGAGGCAGTAGCAGGTTTCAAATGTCAGTGTTACCCTACTCTCTGCCTTTTTGTTCCTTCAATTTTCCTCACACCTTTGCACTAATTCTCTGCATTAATCCCTCTCTGCTAGAAATGCCTAGTGATTAAATTATATAAATGCCAATGTTCATAGGGCTATTATAAGGATAAATGAGACAATATATATTATGCATTGTGCTCAGTTCTTAAACATGGTAAGTACCAAACAAATGCCAACTATTACTCCATTATTCTAACTAATCGCTGTTGGTGCATAGTTGGTGATCTAGCTTCCCTCTTCTCAATCCTATAAGATGGAGGTGATGTAGATCTTTCTCTTCTTAACCATCAAAGGATTTCAGTAAAGTTGGACTTAGAGAAGGTAGGGAAACCGAAAGAAATAGAAGGGATCAAACAGGGAAGAAATAGTGAGTATGAAAAATGGCACAGAAGATAATCCTGATGGTTATCCAGGAACAACATGACCTGAACTTCTGGTAATTGTAAAAGCGACTCATAACAGAATAAGTATGTGGTAGTCCAAAGTAAATCACAGGTCTATGGCCATACCACCTTGAACGCGCCCAGTCTCATTGTCAAAGTAAATCACAGCCCCTATCATGTAACAGTGAAATGAATCTCACTAGTAAGTCATTTTCAGGTCTTCCTCTTAGACTGGTCACAATGCCTAGCATGCTTTGCAGAAAATCCAAAACTTCCAGATATTAGCTTATTATTAAGTATACACACACAATATAATCACACAAAATTAATCTGCCCTGTTCAGTAAAATGTAACAAGATTTATTTTTTCTGTGCTTTGAAATGACTTTTACTCCTGTTTATTTAACAATATCACTAGAGGGCAGAGCACTCAGCTTCAGTTCAGAAGCCTTATTTTTACACGTATTTTGTCTGCCCAGGTTGCATCATTTAATGTATTTTAATCGAATAAAGTGCCTAAGGTACTTGACTGCTAACCAGAAAGCTGGTGGTTCAAACCCACTAGCCCCTCTTTGGAAGGCAGATGGGGCAATCTACCTCCATAGTGATACTGCCTCAGAAACCCAAGGAGGGGTCGTTATGAGTCTGGTCTGACTCAATGGCACATAAAACTACACAACATATATAATGTATTATGGAGCTCTGGTGGCATAGTGGGTAAGACACTTGGCTGCTAACCAGAAGGTCAGCAGTTCACACCCAATAGCTGCCCCATGGGAGGATGATGAGGCAATCTACTTCCATAAAGATTTACAGCATTGGAAACTCAATGGGGGTTGTTATGAGTTGGAATCAACTCAATGGCAGTGGGTTATGTATAATGTATTAGTCAATTAAAATTATTAACTTCTGAGTCTTAATTAAAATACAGAAAGCAAGTTCCTGTTTCAAAAGAATAAGCTTCCTGTTGTCTTAGAGGGACAAATAGTAATGATATTATGAGAACTACCTCTTATAAAAATGGCAATGAGACCCAGTGCTTCTGTGGAAAATTCGCAGCACAGGGCTGTGTTCAGCTCACCTTCTCCTCATTGGTTGTACAGAGTCATTGTCACTTCCACAGGAAGGGTTTCGGCGACGCGTGTAGGGGAACTTTTGTGATTTACTGCGGTCACTGGGAGAGTTGTAGAGTCCACTGGAGTGAAAAAGGGGTGGTCAACAAGTGTCTACAGAAGTCTGGAGAGCAAACATCCTAACCCTGAGCTAGCAGAGCATCCACAGCCATGCATTCTGTCCTCTCAGGGGCTAACTGCACTGGGGACAAATCATTCTCTTTGCTGACAAGATTTATTGAAAGAAAAGAAGTTAAAGTGTGGCAAATAGAACCAACAAAGTCATTACTTTGGGTCACTCATCTTACTGACCCTCAGTAGTAAGAAATGAACACATTTAAATGAAAACTCATAACAACAAAAATTCATATTAATGATGAACCCACCACTTGTCAGTCACTATCTTAGCTAATCTCCACCTCAACTCTATGTACTTATATATAATTACTAGACCCACTTAACAAAAAAGGAATAAAAGTACAGAATGTTTAATTAAGTACCCCAAGTAAAGGAGCCAGGAAGTGACAGAGCTGGAATTTGAAAGCCTGGGTAGTCATTCCAGACCCATACCTGCAACTAACATAACTTATTTTTAGGAATAAGGGTCTTCTAGAATCTATCCATCAGCTATAATTTTCAACTAAAGTTTTTATTAGAACTATGAAATAAGGGAAATTATCATTAGAATGTCATTTACAGTTTTCAAAAGTATATACTCTATATCATCCTAATGACCTCTCAGGTATTTCTAAATATACTCTAGTTTTCTCTTCCGTCTTTCCAGGAGAAAGTTTCATGTTAAGACACATCCTATTGAATCAGAAATCCCTGTCATATTGATCTAGGAATCTGACTTCCTTGTCCACTGCTAGCCATAGCCACACAGCAGTTCGATTCCTTTATGCAGTTAGCTGTAATTGTCACCCCCTTTTTTACTCTTCTCCTTTATAAAATCAATGATTTCCTTTACCACTGAGGACCGTTCTCTTCCCACGGTGCATGGGATTTGCTTCTTTGGGTATCAGGGCTGTTTTCATTCTTTGCTTTCTTAAAGCTTTAATTAAACAAACAAAAAATATATATAGAAAATAAATTAACTAGAAAATATAAGTTAACTCATACATGTGTTTCTTCAATAAAAATAATTTAACAAACATTTAAATAATGTTTTTATTTGCTAGTTTACACCTGTGACTCATTCCAAAAAAACAAACTATGAAGTGGCAGTCTATAAAATATGTTAACAGCAAGTAATTTTAGGTCACTCATCTTCCCTCTTTCTTTCTGCTTTAAAGCAACAAAAGTCAGGTCATAAGTTGTTAAAAAAACACGTAAGAGAGTTCACAAACATAATAGGAAGGAAAGGCAATAGCTGAGTCAAGAAAAGAAGAGAACTGATGAGGAAGGAAACCTGGGATATGTGGGCTCCTGGAGCAGGCTCCTTTTCTTGTCTACAGTGATCAGCGACTCCTGGCTCTGGACTTGAGTCTGAATCTGTGCAAGGTGGTTAGCTTAGGGCAGGTTCAGGCTACCTGTGGTAGTTAACATTATGTGACAACTTGGCTGGGCCTGGTTTTGAGTGGCTGGGCAATTGGATGTAGTTATTCCCCATGATGAGACTGGTAAGCAACTCCAAGGTGGGAACTACTGTGAGCAGCTGACTAGCTGCCCTAGGGATGTGGTCTGCTTCCCATATGTAAAAAGTAGCTTTGATAAAGGTCTCTGAGCTTTTTGGCATATCTGGATCCTGCATTTGGTCAAGTCTTCATGGCTGTAGCTAGCCACATTGTCTGTCGATCTTGGGACTGTTTCTGGACTTGAACTAGTGGCCTGCAGTGTTGTTTGATTATCTTGGGACTATGCCATTTTACCTGTCAACCTTGGATTTGTCAGCTTCAGCAGCCAGCAGCTGCCTGAGTTAAAAGAAGCTTCTAGCTCCAGTGGGTCAGAAGCAAGAGGCAGAGCTAAAGCCAAAGGTTGGGCCTTTACTCAGCCCCTAGAGCTAGTACTTTGAACTCAAGACTTCTATCCTCCAAAACTGTTAGAGAATAAATCCCTGTTTGTTAAAGCCAGCCACTTGTGGTATTTTCTATTAGAGCAGTACTAGAGAATCAAAACATTACCCAAACTGACCTTCCTCCAGCTCCTGCCATATCTTGGCATCATCCTTCCAAATTAGAATGACTTTCAAATGCTACTTCCTGACCTAGTATCATCTTTCTGCCCTAAGAATGAAAATATATCTGAGCTGTTACTCTATCCCAACAAATTGTTTTAGAAACACATGGGGAGACACAGAGGAATGGCCTCATCAGGTACCGGTAGAGGAGGGGAAGTATGTGACTCTCACCTCCCCAGGAATCTCAGCTAAGAAAAAGATACAGCTACTTAACTCCTAATCCACTTTTAACCTCAGCTTTGTGAGGAATCTTCTATAAATCTATCCTAGAACTTGATCATAGCAGAGATCTCAATAAACGGCAACAAAGAGAAGAGAAAGAAAAAATGACAAGGTCATTTCAAAAAAAGAAAATAAACTTGCATCCTATATTCACATAGGAATTAATAAAATATAAACCTATCGAATTATGCATTTGACAAAGGCATATTACCGAAAAACAAACAAACAAACAAAAAACCTCACTGCTGTCAAGTCAGCTCTAAGCCACAGTGACCCCTCCTTGGGTTTCCAAGGGGATATCACTATGGAAGTAGATTGTCCAATCTTCCTTCTGAGGAGTGGCTGGTGGGTTTGAACCACCAACCTTCTGATTAACAGTCAAATGTCTTATAAACTATGCCACATAGCATCAGTATATAATAGGTACATTTCATATATGAACAATATATTATTTTAATAAAGATTTTGAAGATCAAATTCCCAAATTAAAAGCTTCTCTTTTGAAATGAGGAAAATAATATGCTAGATATTTAGTGCAACAGTAAAAGATGTGTGTGTATGTGTGTGTGTGTGTATTTAATAAATCAGAGAGAGAGTGTGTGAGGAAAAAGGGAGAGTCAGAAAAGAAATAAAGAGATGAAAGGGGAATTGGGAGAGCAGGCAAAAGTTAAATAATAATGAAATCCTGGGTGGCAAAATAATTGCATTCACTCCCTAAGCTATTCCTCATCTAGAGCTTGAGGGGGAAATTTTGGCATCCCTTCAGTTATCAGCACTATCAGCAGGAATGGGTTGCATAAGGGGATTGAGCTCTTTCCGTACATTATAAAAAGGCTTGGGATCTGAATTTCATGGAAGATTACTGTTCTTATGTTGTACTTAGCATAAATATGCTCTTTACATGGCTCTCTGTTTATCCACAGCTGTGAAGCTGGCTAAGGGAAGCACAGTAAACTGAAATACATACAAAGGCAAAGAACTCATCATTCCAAAAGGAATCTATAAAGGGAGTGTCTTGGAACTGAATAAAAGAAAACGTAGTCAAAGCCCTGAGGAAAACATTGCAGCTCTGTGAGTCTTCATATTTCAGAATATTTTGCTGAAAAATCATTAGTCGTATTCTTCAGAGTAGCCATAATCACTGAGTGAAGACACAATTATTTACTAAAAAAAATCAACCAGATGATCTAGGAATTTTTTGAAGTCATGTATTTCTGATTCCTTAGACTTCTGTATTATCTCAATAGAGAAAGTGAATGAGGAGAACTGCTCATTGTCAGTGGCTTCACTAGGATTGGTGTCACCCAGTGCATACATAACTCATGGTGTCACAACCCCCTATCCCACAGGTGGTGCTGGCCAGCAAACTCCCTACTCGTGGGCAGAGTCGACCCCTACCCCTCCCAGCCCCATCCCTCACAGCTCCCTGCAGCTCCTCCCCCTCCCACTGGAAACCTTCTTCTCTGCCCACCTGCCCACACCCTCACTGGCAGGTGGAAGGTGGTGGTGCTGAGAAGTTACCACACTGCGTGACGACACCAACACTAGTGATGCTCCTACCTTAGCAGTCTCTCCCCTGTGGCACCAGCCCACCTCCTGTCATGGCCACAGACCCTGGGGTCATTTTGCTGTGTCATGGGGTATAGTCTGCACTCCTCTAGTGATGCCACTGCTCATTGTGTGTCTATAATGTCCCATGAACATAATTTGAAATAGGAAAAAATGACTCTGGAATAATTCCTTAACAGAGAAGAAGACTGATCTTTCAGGGAAACAATCCATGTAATATATTAAAAGGAGGCTTTCCACTGGGAAAAGCAATGCAGAGGACCATGACAACTCTTCATACATATGCAACCCCTGACTTCAGAAGCTCTGATGTCTCTAAATTCTATAAACTAGAATTCTAGTTTATTATTAATGTAAGATTCTATTAATGTAAGATTCTATAAACCCTCTTTTGAGGGTCACAGTTCAGTGCACCACTGTAATGAACAAAAGTACATTAAACATGAATATCACCTACTTTATTCCACAAGTCCCTCTGAGTAGACCATGATATCATATCATTTTAAAAGTCACATGGAATATTCACTTGGCTGCATAGAAAGCAGCTTAAAGACTGTCTGTGATTTCACCATACCATTATGTTGTTGTTGTTGTTATGTGCCATCAAGTCGGACCCGACTCATAGCGACCTCTCCTTGGGTTTCTGAGGTGGTATCATACCGTGATAGCAAGAGCATTTCCTCGCAAATAAGGAAGGCAGGCCCTGCACTGTTATATTTTACTGGCATTTAGAAGTACTCTTGGGCCACAGCGTATTTATTGGAATCCATTGATCAAAAGTATTGGCTAACTGTCAAAATGAAAAGATTCTTAACCCTAACAACAGGAAAAATGCTTTCAGTTTTTCTGACAACATATAGTTATATGTTTCTTCAGCTAACTGTACTGACCTTTTTACTGGTGAAGGTGCAATAATTTTAGTTGTTCCTTCATTTTCTCCATTTTCCATCATCGCAGTTATCTGGTTTAGGTTATTTGATCCTAGTGGGCAAGGAGGGAGAAGGAAGGAGATACAATCAGGAAAATGCAAAGAAGCAGGAGAGTTATTTTAAAATGCAATTTTAGGGACATAATGGCCCATTTTACCAATAAATTATTTTTCCAAATAAATAATGAATCTCCCAATAAGTATCAGGTGCTATTTTCCGACATGTATGTACTAAACCTTCCACAAAACAATGTCCCAGGGTGTCTATATTATAAAAATAGGACCTTTTGAAACTTCAAGATTTAACTAAGTCCCCACTTCATTGCCTTTCTTTACTTCAGAGTATTAATGTAAGATTCTAAAATATTTAATACCATATATTAGAATATGGGAGCTCTGGTGGCGTAGTGCCTCAGGCATTTGACTGCTAACCAGAAGGCTGGTGGTTCAAACCCACCAGCCACTCCTCGGAAGGAAGATTAGGCAATTTACTTCCATGGAGATACCGCCTCAGAAACCCAAAGAAGGGTCACTAAGAGTTACAACTGACACGACAGTAGTGAGTCTGTTTTTTTTTTTTTCTTTTTTGGTTTATGTGGTAAAAATAGTTACCATTTTTAGGCACATATGACAGCCCTCATTTGAGATCAAACAAAATTTTAAAAAGTGTTTCAACCTGAACTCGTAATGCAAATGGCAAAATTTACAGAGATGTGATTTGCATCATTCACACGAAAAAATCTCAAATGCATATTTTATGCTAACATTCCTAGAAATTCAAACTTTAATTCAAACTTGAATTTTTATAAGCTGTTATTCCACATGTTTTAACAGATGCCAGGTAGACCAGCAGAGGGAGCCCAGAGCAGACACAATGTTGAAAATCATGGTCAAAAGAAAGATAAGCAGGGCCCAGGCCCATTCAGAGAGTCTGGTTCCTTCCTTAAGACAGAGGCTGATGTGTTTGTAGGCATGATGTGCAGCCAGAAGATATGCAGGCACATAACTCTGGGCAGTTTGGAAGAGCAGGGGGAACCAGGCAGCTTGGATGCCCACAGCCCTTGATAAGTAACCTCTAAATGGCACACAGGTATGTTTTCCTCAGTGATGCATCTTGCAGGGGGGCATGTCCATAGAAAGCTTGAATCCAAAGTGTAATTGCTCACAACCAGTGAAGTTTTTTGTTTTTGTTTTTTTTGCTTTAATTGTTATTATTTTGGTGAATGTAAAAAGGAGCTCCAACAATGCAGTGGTTAAGCACTAGGCTGCTAACTGAACGGTTGGCAGTTCAAATCCATCAACAGCTCCACAGAAGAAAGATGTGGCAGTCAGCTTCCATAAGGATTACAGTCTTGGAAACTCTATGGAACTGTCCTATTCTGTTCTATTACAGGGTTGCTATGAGTCAGAATTGATTCAAAAGCAACAGGTTTGGTTTGGTTTTACACACAGCGAAAGACACACTATTTCAACAATTTCTACATGTACAATTCAGTAAGATTGGTTGCATTCTTCAAGTAGTGCTACCATTCTCTATCCTTTTCCACTTATTCCACACTATTATTTTAAATTCACTGCCCCTTAAGCTTCCCATCAAACCTTTTGAGTTGCCATTGCCAATTTTATTTCAAATAGATAATTTTTTAGAAGAGCACAGTGCTCAGAGCAGATGTACTTTACTAAGTAAAAGAAACTATCTTTTTATTCAAAGAAGACTTCAGGGGATAGTTTTGGCTTAAAGTTTAAAGATTATCTCTGAGGGTTTTTGAGTCATGACGATGACTTTGTAATACTAATAAAAGCTAACACTTATTGAGCACTTACTATGTGCCAGGTGCTGTTTTAAGCACTTCATATCTATTTATTCATGTAATCATCTGAATAATTCTATTAAGTAGTGTCAGTTTAGGAATTTAACTTTACCCAAAGAATTTGGTCTTTGTCCTTGGTTCCTGAGAGAAAACCTCTAAAATCTTGCAATTTCCCCACTGATTGAAGTTTCTTTGATGAAATCTCTGACCAGAGCTCAGAGTTTATGCCAATGAGTTGCCTCCTGGATGGGGCCTAGCCAGGCCAGAAAGACCCACCATCTGCTATCAGCCCTGTTCAGGGGTGAGGGACATGATTCAATCAATAATGTCTATGATATAAGACTCCAATAAAGGATATGACACAGAAAATCCATGAGCTTCCTGGCTGGTGTCAGACTAGAATGTATATGACAGAGTAAGGCATCCTTTGGAACATGGAAGCTCTTCATGGGGAACCTCCCAGACCTCACCTTATGTGTCTCTTCATTTGCATCCTTTTTGCTATAATGAAACTGTAACCATTAATAAAGCACTGTTCTGAGTTCTGTGAGTTGTTCTAGCAAATTATTAAATGCAGAGGAGTAGTGGCAACCAATAGATCAGAAGTGAGGGGGGATCTGGGAACCCCTAAATTTTTGGTTGATATCCTAAGGGTATAGTGGTGGGATGATCCCGGATTTGTAGCTAGCAGGTCAGACAGTGGGTGTAGTAGGTTTCCCCAAGTTTGCAGCTAGAGTCTGAGGTCTTGGATAGGCTTGGCAGTCTAGAGAACTGTGCCTTTTAACTTATCAGATGTAACCTAGGTTAGGATCACAGGAAGTAGTATTACATGTGTATTTGGGAGCAGAATGGAACAGATTTATTTGAAATTGATATGATTACTAATACTAATGTTATCCTCATTTTAAAGATAAGAAAAATAGCCTTTCCCAAATGTCCCCAACTCATGAGTGATGGGGTCAATTTTGGAGCTGAGCTATCTGGTTTCAGAGATTAAGTTCTAAACCACAACAATATACTGCTTTCCATAAATGCCATCTGTGCCCCACCTAAAACAGTTCAAAAGTCAGCCAAGTCAAAGAGATGGATGCTTTAGTGGGCTAGTGGAAGGGAGTCCAATGATGAGAAAGTTCAGTAGTCAAGTAAGAAAATCCTCTCTCAAGGGCAACCAAGACTGAAAGCCAACAAGAAGAACACTTCAGAATTTCCCAAACTGACAATATTCTTCCAGAGCAGTTTGAAGCATGTCTGCCTACCCATAGAAAGACAAACATTAATAAACACACCTTGGACAGAAAAAATAGTGATTTCAAATATGAGATCAAAAAACTATCATTCTAAGGAATTTGATATGAATTCAGCCTAAGAGTTTTGTCTTTTTTGGAATACTGAAATGGAAAGGTAAGCCTGAAGATACATGTAGCACTAAATGTAAGCTCATGTTGGTGCCAGCACTAATAACTGAACAACATCCATAATGCAGGCATCCTAGAAAAATTTGGGAGTTTATAACAGTAAATTTCACCAGTTGTGGTCAATGAGATACCAGCAGTTCCCTTGAACTACTGTACATGCTCTCAGACATCTGCAGGGCCCAGTCACTGTTTATTTTGCCATGACTGTTAATAACATCATAAGAACAGATTCTCAAAATTATAGGCACAGAACTGGGGAGTAGCTTATTCTCATACATGCAATTCTATGTGGTGTGGCCCTGGGGCACTTGTTATTATTTTTGTGAGCTGTTGAGTCAATTTCTACTCATGTTGACCCCATGTGACAGAGCAGAACTGCCCCGTATGGTTTTCTCGGCAATAATCTTTACAGGAGCAGATTGCCAGTTGTTTTTCCCAGAGGAACTACTGCTGGGTTTGAACTGCCAACCTTTTTGGTTAACAGTCAAGCACGTAACCATTACACCATTAGGGCTCCTTGGGGCAGCGTTGCTGCTGTTGTTATGTGCTGTCGAGTTGGATCCAACTCATAGCGACCCCTCCTTGGAATTCCGAGGCAGTATCACTACAGAAGTAGATTGCCCCATCTTCCTTCTGAGGATGGGCTGGTGGGTTTGAACCACCAGCCTTCTGGTTAGCAGTCAAGTGCCTTAGGCACTACACTACCAGAGCTCTGAGGGATTAATTCATCTGTACCCCAGACAGTAGGTGTACTCCAACATAAATATCGTTAATTGCTCCTATTAAGCTTTATTTAAATATAGTATTGTCCTCAGCAGATATTATTAATTTATAATATAAATGAAAGGGGCTTTCATGTGTCTAGGGCTATTTTCTTGGCCTGGGATTGGGGGTTCGGGAGGAAGTTACAGGAGAGGGACCAAACCTAGTGCCAATAACACCAATCAAAAGAGCATCCAGGGAAGGTGAACATCATGTTAACCCAGGCTCTGTGCAAATAAATAAGGAAGAAACCTAGGTTGTGCTCTAACCCTCATCTCTTTAGACTGGCTTGTGATTTGCAATTGAGTCAGGTCTGACTCATGGCAGGCAACTTCGTATGAAACATTCCCCAGTCCTAGGCCATCATCATGACCATTGGTGTGTGTGAGCCCAGTGTTACAGCTATTGTATCAATCCATCTCATTGAAGGTTTCCTTCTTCTTCACTGACCCACTACTTTACCAAACATGATATCCTTTTACAGTGATTGGTGTTTCCTTATGACATGTCCAAAGTAAGTTTACAACATCCTAGCAATATGCAAGCTACCACAGATCGGTGGTAGTTAATTGATCACTTTGGAGAAAGTGAGGTTGTTTAATCACTTGCACCCAGTTTCTTTCCATTGTAGTTTCCCAAATTAATAAAAACTGAGCAATATCTTTAAATAGAAATACTGTAAACTTTATGTATTTTCTTAAATAAACCAACATTAGATTATTCAAAACATCCAAATCATAATTTTTAAGATAAAACACTATCAGAATAAAAGTATGTATTTCTCAAAGATAAATAAACAATATAGCCAAGCTTCTTCAAAATAAAGTGTTCCACTTTCAGGGGCATTTTACTAACATAACAGTTAAAGAACTATTATGTGCACAGCATAAATGACAAAGTAGAAATGCCCATGTTGTTGTTGTTGTTGTTGTTTGCCGTCGAGTCAGCCCTGACTCATAGCGACCCCTCCTTGGGTTTCCGAGGCAGTATCACTACGGAAGTAGGATTGCCCAACCTTCCTTCCGAGGAGTGGCTGGTGGGTTTGAACCACCAGCCTTCTGGTGA